GAGGTTTGAAATATAAATCATCTTGAAAAATAAATCATCTGGGCAAGGTTGGAAGGGGTTTGTGAAGAGGTTAAACTGGGTTGGATTGGATTTGGAAATATTTTGGAATATTATTTTTCCATTTTATTTTTTTGTTGTTTTTATTATTTTTATTAAAGTTAAATGATTAAAATTAAGTGGACTGAAATTTTTACCCTTCTAAATTATGTTATGTGAATAAATGCACCTATCTAACGGAACAAAGGGGAGAATTAGATGAAAAAGACCATGTACACAAGGCATCTAAGGATTGAAATGTCAAAAGTAAAATGATCAAAACGATTTGCACAAGGGTAATTATATTACCACAATGAAGTTTACTTATTACACAACAGTTTTAATTAATTTTTATTTATTTACTTAAATCACCTTAAGTAGAATTACTTTGTTACCCACAATTTTATATAAATTCTTAACTTAAACTATTTTTTCTGAATACACCACGATTTAAGTTGTTGCTTTTCCTTCAATTGGCATCTCCTCTACTTGTACCACCACCTGAAGAAGAAAGGAACCAAGAGGGCACCTTTTTAACAAGAGACAAAAATGCACATTTCATCAATTCCCATAATTTATCCGGCTTTTGTGGCATTAAGATGTCGACGGTTCACCCAAATCCACCACCTGAAAACCACCCCTCACATATTTCTCCTCCAGGCACACTAGTCAACTCTCATTAGTTATCAATTAGAATCATGCTACAGGTATAAAAGTTTTTGTTAGAAAAATCTTACAGATGACACATAGCACGACATCATTGGAAAAATGGAAAAAAGAAGAAAAACAGCCCGCTTACATTTTGCCACATCGTCGGTCCAAGTTTTGTTAAAATTTTTCTGTACTTATGGCTTTATCGTATCAATTAACATGTAAATTGTAAAATGATATTAATAATCATGTATTTATATGACATGCATGCATCACCATATAATAAATATTTATTGATTGGACACTCGTCGAACCATCTTTGGATCATCCACTGTCACAATCAATATTAGTATGGAACAAGATATATAGTCAAACAACAACTATGAATTTACATATACATGACATTTTTTTTTATGACAATCAATTGTGACATGCTATCTCGATATCGCATTTATCTCTAACATGATATCAAAGATACGACAATCTAGCGTTATGAGAACTGTTAATAGATCATTCCTGCCTATCTCTACTGAAAAATATCTCTATATCTAATTGAAGTTTCAATTACTACCTTAAATGATGTTGACGCCTTACAAGTGCATCTATGTAGAAGCGGTTTCACTAATTTCTTGGTAAATGTATTGACTATTACATGTGTAATTATATTGTTATATGTTTCATATTTGTCCTAGTGAAATTGTTCAATCACGAACTAGGAACATCAATTACCTCATCTACTTCTCCTTAAATATAATACCAAGCATCTAGAGCATAATTGCATACAACATAGAATGCATTGGTGGCTAGCTACATCAATTTTACATTAGCTATTGGGGAAGAAATAATGACGAAATAATTAGAAGAGACAAACACGTAACAATTGGATTGAAAAGTTAGTATCTTGCTTAGATATTCAAGCCATCTACTCCAATGTAAGGAAAAATCAAGAAATCAGTACTATGGTTATAGCTCTATAGCTCTATTGTCATGTTCAAACTTGAAAGAAGTAAATTTTTTATCAAAATTTTGGTATAGTTGTACAGTCTTTCAATGATAAAAATCCTTGTTAAATTATCATGTGGCCTTCGTATTAAGAATTATGGTTTTATCTTAAAAGGTTAATCTTATTAAAGAAGTGACACAAACTCTTATATATTGGTCAATATTTTCATCTCTATTTAATATGAAATTTATCCATTTACTCCACAAAATGATGGTTTGTTTGAATAAATCAATCTTGAAATTTGTGTGCTCATTTTTTTAATCTTAATTGGATCGAATTGCTTATTGAAATTTAATGAACTCGATACCATATTAAGATTTGAAATTTCATCTTAAAAGGTCAAATATATTAAGAAGAGTAGTTCAAACCATTATATGTTGATTTATATTTTTATCTTTATAGGACATAAAATTTATCACTTAATACTTCATATATTTGACTTTCAATGTTATGATTTGTTTTTCCTACATGAAGTAGTCTTCAAAAATTTGAAATGTGACTTATTTTCATAAGGCCCGCTTGTGATGATATGACAAAGGTTTTAAAAGTTTTCGTTATTCCAAACTAATTGTAAAGTACAATAGATAATCGAGAACTAACTTTATATAAAAGCTAACATCACTTGCGACTTGAACAAGAAGATAGCGAAGGGAGGGAAAGATTCACATGGGGTCAAATGACCCCATAAAATTTTTGTTTTTTTAATAAAATAGTTGTTTTAACTCCTTTATGATCTATTTTGATATACTCATTACGGAATATCAAATGAAATCGAAACATTGCATTCTTAATATAATTCGAAGTGCTCATGACCTAATTTTCATTCGTTAATGGCATACGAAACGATCAATCGTAGCAAAAGTTACAACGCATCAAAGTAGGCCGTTGTAAACTAGTATTTCGAGAATTGCGATAATGTGCTAACTTTCAAAATTCCCTGATAATCTTATACTATCCGAATCCACAAATCGCCTACGTCATCTAGAAACTCGTTTCGAGAACTACGTCATATTCATATGAATTAATCTATTTGTACACTATTTTTGTACAATATTGTTGACAATGTTGGTTGTAGCGAAGAAGTATTGGTTGAAAAGATGAATTATTTTTTAAAATGTCCAATGACAATATGCCACATAATATGTTGTCAAGAATATTGTCAAAATTATTGTACATCAAGCATTGCACTATTCATATTGAATATTCCAAACAGATATCGAAAATAGTTAAATATGCATCAAACATATGTTTTAAAAGAAACGTTTAACTCATCTTTTAAAAAAAATAAAATCAATTATTTCATTAATGTTTATTATTTTTCCATGATAAATTTTTCAATATAATTTACATAATTTTATTAGAAAATTTTACATAGAATATGACGCCAAAAATTTTAGAATCGTTATAGATTAAATGTAATTTGAATTACTTTCAAATTACTTTTGCATTACATTTAAATATTATTTACTTCCTAGATTAAATGTGAATTTTATTTAAATTCATTCACTTCATATATTCAATTTGATTTGGTCAACAAAACTATACAAGTAACAAAATTTATTTATCAATATTGATAATGATATAATTATAAGACGTTTTTAAAATATCAAAATGCGTATTAACTTATTTTCATTCATATTATATTATTTTATAAAAATTTATACTTTAATTTTTGACCCCACAATACAAAAACTCTGAATCCACCCTGAGCAAATGTGCAAATTTTCCCTAACATTTTATCCAATTTAAGATGCTATAATATGCATGTTAGGTTGAAGTCAAATGCTCCTCAGAAAATTCCAATTCCACACGTAAAAGACAAAGAAAAAATTCCCATCCCATGGCCCTTCCTCAAGTAACTCAATTTGCAATTGAAATCTTCAACTTACTGTATCAAATATCCGTTTCAAAAGCATATACAATTATGATATAAAATATTCTTTTCGACAAATTGATATCAAATATATATATTTTTAATTAACTTATATATTTATTACAACAATTCTTTAAACTACACGTAACTAACAAGATATAAATGAATGGACCATGTAGTGTGCAACACCGTAGGGGGAAAACACCACTGGTTCCCCCTTAAAGAATGAGAAAAAATTGCAAAGTTACTTCTCAACCTTCTTTGAATCTCAATCTAACTTTAGGGTAAAAACTTTTTGGTCAAATGATCAGACTACAGTTTGTCATGCTTCAAGTTAAACGGTAGTCAAATATTCACCCATACATTGTGAATCTCAAAATTTCTATATGATACGAAGAGGTATTATAACTAAGTATTGGGATTTTAATTTAGCACATCGGCTTGGACAACTTGTGACTCAACTCGAAAAAAGTTCGAACCAATCCAACTCAAGGCTAGTGCGGAGCCCACGCTCCCTTAAAAAAGGCGGTAGCTGGCTGCCTTTTGCTGCCTACCTAAAGGCTACCAACTGTTGCCTTAAAAGGTGTGTATATATATATATATATATGTTTGAAAAAAAGTAAATTTTTTTGATTTATATATAATATTATTTTATTAAATATTGTGTGGTTGAAAAGAAAAAAGAGAAAAATGTATTTTGATAAGAATGTGGATCAAACAAGGGCATAATTTTTTTACCGAGCAAAAGCTTGGCTCGACTAAGGCCCAAAAAAAGTTCACACTATTTTACTTGAGTCATGTCCGAACCTTGAGTTTTAGTTCGTGAGTTAGCTTTGCTCGACTTATTGGCATCCCTAACTAAGTATGTCTCCATACACGTGATAGAAAAATATCGTAAGCCTCATTAGCTTCAGTGTCATCCAATAAGACTATTTGCCAATTTTCTGTCCAACTCTATCGACATAAGTTGTAATCACCACTTGATTCGAAGATTGCAATGCATCTTGTTGACACACTCCGTCGATTTACGTTCATATTTTAATCAAAATTCTATCTAACTCTCTCAATAAAATAATCATTGTTTAGAGTCGAAAGATCATTGTGCTTCTCTTCGCACACTCTTCCTTAAATTATTTACGACTATGTTTGGCTAAACATTTATAAAAAGGTAGAAGTTACTTTAAGCCTTCGTTTGGTATGGATTAATATTAAAATTTTTTATTTTTCAACCGTACATTTTATCAACTTTTATTAAAATTAATTAAAAATTTAATTTTAATCACCACGCAGCTAAGAATAAAATAAATAATTTGCCCTGCTCTTTCTTCAATTTTCAGGAACAAATTGATAAAATAAACATTATTTATGAGTTATGACGTCGACTGCATTTCGTCATCTCGCGCATTTACGGAACCTTCTGGGAAGGACTAAGGAGGACGCGGTTTCCAACCCAGAAATTTGTCACCATGTGTGGTGGGCTCCTTCTGCATCAGCTCACCAATTTCTAATTCACCACTTAATGTTCACTTGTTACTGTTTCAAAATGTTTACTGTGGCTCGGCAAATAACAAACCATGGTTTGATTAAGATAACCCACCCCTTTAGCAGCCCTATAAATACAACACTCATGACTGGGTTTTTGCTTAGTGAAGTAGAGAAAGAGAGACAGTTATTCCTCGTCCAGGTTTTTTCCCCTTTCCTTGTGATTATATATTGCCAATCACTATAATAATTACCTGATTTTTTTTAATTATTAATATTATTTTGGTGTTATACTGATTGGATGTTATATTTGATCAGTTCAGAAAGTGATCTGAAGACGAGAGGGGGCACAGATACTGCTACTTGAGGTTTGATCTAATTTAGTAGTTTCCCCGATTTCTTTGAATCATTGATTTTGTTTCTCTCAATTCTTTTGGATGATTTTAATTCTTTTTCGTTTATGGGTATTTTGTTATGTTTATTGATGCTTCATATTCTTGCTGTTTGATTGATTCTTGTTGCAGCATACTTTCCATTTTCATGAAATTGGCACTTTCACTTGGTATTGTCATTTGAGAGCTGTTCATATGCATCATAATATTGAATTCTTTCAGTTGAGCCTTTTTTGTTTATGGGTTTTTATCAAATATGGAAATTATACTGATCTTGGCCTTATTTGATCTATTCTATAAGCAAATTGTGATGGTAATTGTAGTTATGAACCCAAAGATGATTACTGATTCCGAATTTATTTTGTGCTGCGTGGTCCAATTCTTGACAAGTCCTCAAGTCAATATGAGTCAATGGTTGTGTGATAAAAATAGTATTAACCATTCAGAATGATAAAACATGCACCCTCTTGGGTTTTTTTTAACATCACTTTGTCCAATTTCATTCTTACTTAAATTTATACATACTTTAGCATAGATTGCTTTGTTCAATTTCATTCATTCATTCAAACATGCATACATGCCTATATATGTATATAGATCCATAGCCATGTGTGCATGCCTACTAGCTAGTACATCTATGTTTTTCTGGGTGTAAAAATGTAAAATTCTATGTGCATAGAGTTGCTACTTATTATGTGTTCGCGGATCTTTTATATTCGTCATATTAGACACTGGCTCAAGGTTTGTATTTGCTTAATTTTTGAGTCCAAGGCTACCGACGGTACATGCAGTGTGCACAAATTTTTATAATAAAACCACTTTGAAAAATCGACTCTTCAGTTTACTGCACCAACTTCTGATAGTAATTTTTGGTTTCTTTCTTCACTATTTTATAAAATGCTCAGCATGTATTATAAGACAACCTAAATTTAAGGCAACTAATTTTCGTTAAACTCAAATATTAAAGAGTTATATAAAACATCCCTAATATCTTCATCTATACATTTGCTTATCTAATAGCTGGAACTTAAAGTTGTCTACTTTTGTTATACTTAGCTGCATTCTGATTTATTAACGTATGTTTTTTATTGGCCCAGATAAGACATTACAGTTTTATTGCTCTTCATTGATTTTGATTCTTCATGTGTCCTCCAATGCCTTCCCTGTTTTTTGAAATTGGTTTGAGTGATGAACAAGTCATTTTTTCACTTCATGAGTACATATGTGGATCCCCTCTTCCAAGTAACATGATAGCAGTTCATACTCGATCCTAGCTATTGGGAAAGTTATAATAATTTAAAAATAACAAAATAATTAGGAGAGGCAAACATGTTTTGGATTGAAAGGCTAGTAACTTGCTTAGAGATGCAAATCATCTACTGATATGTAAGGAGAAAATCAATAAAATAGTCCTTCGGTTATAGCTCTGTTGACATTTTAGTTTTCAGCATTTAAAAGGAGTAAATTTATTTTCAACAATTCATTATAGTTGTACAGTCTCTCAATGATAAATATTCTTGTTAAATCGTCTTGTGGCTTTCATATATTTGACTTTCAAAGTTGAGATTTATTTTCCATTTGAAGTGAGACGTATTTTAATAAGGCTGCTTTTGAAATTTAACGAAAGATTGAAAAGTTTTGGTTATTTACAACTGATTGTAGAGTTATTCTAAAAGATTGAGAACTAACTTTAAATGTATAATATCTAACATCCATTGCTACTAGAAGAATAAGTTGGTGAATGTGCAATATTTCCCTACCGTTTTATCTAATCCAAGATACAATCTAATAGAAATACTATGAAGTTTATACTAATATGCAACAAGAAATTTTCATTTAACTTAAATATTAAAGAGATATAAAAACATCCACTCAATATGTTCATTACTGAATATCTTCATCTATATATTTGCTTATCTATGTAAAAGTCAACATCTGGAAATTAAAGTTGTCTACTTTAGTTATACTTAGCTGCATTCTGATTTAGTATCTTATAATTTTATTTATCCAGATAAGGCGTTGCAGTTTTCTTGCTCTTCATTGAATTGGATTCTCCATGTGTCCTCCAATACCGTCCCCACTTTCCGAAATGGGTTCAAATGATGAACAAATCATTTTGTCACTTGATAAATACATACGTGGGTCCCCTCTTCCAAATAATGTGATTGCAGGTTTAGACCTATACCAGTACAATCCCTCAAATTTACCAGGTTAGTTTGAAGTTCTCATCTTTTGCAGTTATGTAATACATTTTCGTTGTCTCTCTGATTGAACTTTCGTCTGGATTGGATAAAATTCTTAGTTATGTCTCTCACATGACTGTCAGGTTGTGAGTCTGCAATTATTTACGAGATTTGGAATTTACTCTCAAATTTGTTGTCACAAATTAGTTTTGGTAGGTTAGAATCGTTAGATTACCGAGAGAGAGAGAGAGCAAGAACATACCTCACATCTAGGTAGAGGAAGATGAACCAAACTAGATTTTCATCTATACACAGAAATAAAAAATAAATACATTAAATAAATTTTAAAAAACTGAAAAACATAAATACAAACAAAAAAAATAAAATTGCAAGAATATACCTAAAGATAATCGTCACAAATTCTACGATTTTCTTCCCTATAATTGAGATGAGGATTGTGCGATTTTTTTTTCCTACAGAAAGAAATAAGAATTTGGAGGGTTTTTTTCGTACAAGAGAGCTGAACTTTTGGACAGAAATTGATTGAATTGAAGAAGGGAAAATGAGTGATTTGAAAGAGTGATAGATGGTAAATTACTTTATATTTTTCTATTTATAATTAAAAAAACCACTTTGACCAAACCATTTCAAATCAGTTAAATGTGAAAACGCATGGGACAAAAATTAAAGTCCAGCTTTGTGCAAAAAAAGCAATAATTTCCACCTTCACCAATAAAAAAAATTGAAACAAAATTTAAATATAAAATAATTAATATTGAAAAATTTTTAAATAGAAAAAAAAAAATTCTCCTTTCACAAAGAGGAAAAATAATTGAAAAAATTAAGTTCAATCATAAATAAAGAGAAAAGAATTCATAAAAAATTTAAATAGAATAAAATTATCTATAATGTCAACAAAACAAATTACAAAATAAATATATAAGAAAAAAATTTCCCTGAATATTACAGTGGAAATGACACTGTAGTGAAACGACGTGGAAAAATAGTGATATGATATGTGAAAAAAATGCTACAGTGTGATTGAATAGAATAATTTACTGTTGCCAAACTAGTTCCAAACCAATTTAATGTGAAAATTTATGTGATAAAAATGAACAGTAAACATTCTCTCTTTTAAGATAAGGAGGGATTCCATAATCGAACTTGAACAATTTTTTAAAAGACTGGTCACCATCCATGGGCCTTTTCAACGGGTATATGAACTGGGTCATAACTTTAGGCCAACAAGTGTAATAACATGGGCCCTCCACTCCACAACAAAAGATATGGGTCAAAAATGTCTTCACAAAAACTTGGTACTTAGGGTCCATTCCAAAATTTGACAAAAAGAGTCCAGTCTAAATGGATCCCAACCAGTAGATCTGGCCCGGGTTGGATAAGAAATCCAGTAATCTTCTTGTTCCACCATTCTTCGGAAAGGATAAGGAAACAAGAAACCAGTCCCTCTCTACTCTTACTTCCTCCAATTTCTCCTATTTTTTCCAATCTTTAAACTGTAAATTCAAGCCATGGCGGCAACACTATTAACACCAGTACTCCCTTCACTCTCTCTCATTTCTAATCCAATTTCCACCTCTCTTAAAAGCTCCATCTCTTTCCCCCTTCCCAGCTCCCTCCCCAAGGTAAAACCTGAAAATCCCCTTTCAAGTTCTCCCTTTCTCATTAGTTTTTCCCGTATACTGGGTCGTGTTTAACTTGTTTGTTTATTATGTATAGATTGGTGGGGTGAGCAAAAACCCAGAAAATTCCAATTTTTTCATCTTTTTTTTTTTTAGTTTTGCTACAATTACAGAACATTCAATTTCTTGCGTGTAGATTGGTGGGCTGAGCATAAAGTGCGTTCGTGTGGGTGGAGTGGAGATTCCCAACAACAAGAGAGTAGCGTACTCGCTGCAGTACATTCATGGGGTTGGGCGCACTCGAGCCAAACAAATACTAGTTGATTTAAGCATGGAGAACAAGATCACCAGGGACTTATCTGAAGAGGAACTTACCACTCTTCGTGAGGAAGTTTCCAAGTACATGATTGAAGGAGACCTCGTAAGTATTCTGATGTATTACCTAATTCTCTCTCTTTTGCTGCTTATTAGTTTAGTATGGTTGCTTGAATTCACAATGTAGATTGTTTATGGTTGATCTGATGTGGGCTTTTGTCAAATTGTGATTATGTTGTGTTTGATTACTCTTCATTGTTGGAACTGGAATGCAGTTGAAGAAATAATTTTGAGCAAATTTCAAACCCCAGCGCCCAATTCAATACTTCCTCTAATCAGAGGCTTAAATATATTGTCGATGTGATGCAAAAGCAAGTTTCTTTATCTTGCCCGAGAGATTTTCGAGTGCTGAAACCACTTTTGCATTATCGATTTCATTTGTTGAACCCCTTGTCAAACACGCCCCTGACATAGAGACTTGCCTAATTCTGTTCTACTGTCATGTTAAATCACCTCATTCAAAAGTTTAACATCAATCGGCATTGTTCTCTTTCTGTTGTACTTGTGAAAATGTGATTTGGGCCTCTGGTTCTAAGTGTATATGTTAATTTGGTGCAAGTTCCTTGTTAGAATGAATTAAATTCTGAGTTTTGAATTGTTTTGGGCTGCATGAATAGAGGAGGTTCAATGCACTTGCCATTAGAAGGTTGAAGGAGATACAATGCTATAGAGGTGTTAGACATATTCAGGGATTGCCATGCAGAGGACAGAGGACTAAGAACAATTGCAGAACCTTGAAGGGAAAGAGGGTTGCTATTCCAGGGAAGAAAAAGCGTTAGGCGATGGTATACTTCCTCTTCTGAAATGGATTGGTAATGTTCTCATTGGGCTTGAGATCTGTACTCTTTAGTAAAATTCAACTACTACAATGTGATTTTATTGCAGTTCCTCTTCAAGAAATCACATTTGCTATTGCTAGTTTCTTGTTTCAAATTGAACAAAGTTTTCTTGTTGGTTCTTGTCAGTCAGTACTGAGAAATGAAAATTATTGGCAAAAGTTGAAATGTCTAGTTATAAGGTCAAGAGTCGAAGAGATCAATAAGGATTGAATTGGCAGTAAAGTAGCATATGCCAAACAGGTCCCCAATCTTGTTGCATTTTCAATCAAGGGACCTGGTAATGTAGCAGGGTTCTTCAATCAAATTGCAAAGCACGTTACTGATTAGATGGCATACCTTTTGTTTATGTTTTTTCTTACTCATGGAGAAATCAACTTAATTTTTAAAAAACTTATTTTAAAAGAGCCTATTTAAGAGCGATTTTTTCTCCCAAAAAATTAATTTTTTAACCGTTATTTCACTATTTCAGCCGTCATATTTTACTTCTCTTCTCACAGGTGAATTCCACTTTTCTCCTAACAGTTAAAAAATCAATTCTCAAACAGGCTCAAAGTTTTCCCTAAAAGCTCTTTTATCATTAACACTTTCATAAAATTAGTCAAATGGATTCAAAAGCAACTTTTGAATTTCAAAATCTCATTGACTCTTCAAAATCATGTCCTCATTATGGTAACTAACAAAATTGAGTCCTAGGCAAGCAAACATCTAATAATCTATCCATCAATGGAAAGTAATTCGTTAGCCCTGCGAAAGCGAATGAAGGATTGGGTTCAACACGACAAAAACATTTCATTTGAAACTACATTCAAATGCAGAACGATATAAACAACAACCAACTTCTCTTAAACACAGATCAAGACAACAGTACATATTAAGACAACATTAAACACAGCCATGATTAAACACAGCCATGTTTCCATATTACCCCCAGAACTTTGAACACCTCAAACCCTAACCTAAGGGAAATATGGAAACACAAGCACGAATGCATTCCCATACACCTACGGTTTATAGTTCCAAAAACAGATGGATAATCCAAACCCCTAAAACCCCATTCCAACCGATCTCCAAGAGTCTCTCAATCATTTTGCTGCTATGCATCTTCCAAGAACCATTGGAGGACTCATCGAACTTGAACCATTTCGAGGTGGGTCCATAATCACTGGTAGGAAATCCAATCGATCACAAGCAAAAAACGAGGTCTCGAATCTTCTTATCAACTTCTGCTTTCCCTTTTTCAAAAAGATGAAAATAAAGATTATAATGCAATATCTGACACAATTTTCTTGAACAGATTATATGTAATGTACCTGGATTTGAGCCCAAGTAATTTCGCAGATTTTCTTGGATGAAAAGCTCTCTTGGCTGGTTACAACCGCACCCCATCGGTAGTTCTCAAGAATTTTCTTGATCTTTAGAGCAGCTGATGCAGTTGTGAAGTTTACAAAACCATATCCCAAATTCTTCATTGTCCTATACAGATTCAAATAAAAACATTTGCTGTATTATGATAATTTTCTTAAAGCTAATTCACTAGTAAATAAATTTAATTACCTGAAGTCCATAGGTAAGTACAAGAAATCATACTGCAAAGAGTACTCCCGGCAACACCAGTCAAGAAAATCCATCAAATCATCTCTCCTGATAATTTTCAAACCAAATATTCTAAATTGAATTTACTGTATATAAACTTTTGAAATTTTACCCAATAATCTCATATTAAATTAAATGATTGTAATCATCTGCTTTGTATGTATTATTTAAGAGGAAGATGGTGAATGCATGTTTATAAGTGTAGAAAAAAGTGATAATTCAATCTCGAAAAAAACAAAAAGGAGAGATTGAACAGATGCGATTACCTTCTAAATATTACAAAATGTACAGTTGACTTAAAAACGAACAAATCCAAAAATACAACGTAATAGTATCAAAAGTTCTATGTGCAGAAGGAAGGAGAAAAACTGGGAAAACTAGTTCAATTCAAAAAAATAAATAAATAAAGTTTATAAACAATAAATCTGATTACAGAATGCATTTAAGAAGATAAAGAAAAAGTGCACCTCATCTGATTTGGAATGTTCTTGATCATTATAGTAGTTTTCTCAGAGCGGCAGGACACCAAAGTAGACGTCGTTGAAGATACCGGCTCCTTGGACTGCCATTCCAGTTTACCACCATCAATCTTCTCCGGCAGACGGTAGCTTCTTCCGATAAACCGTCTTGGGGGGCAAAACCTTTTTGTCCTCCTTTTTTCTCCATTAACACAATTAGGGCTTGAACTTCTTACAACCTTTGGATTTTGCACATTCTTGAATATATTTTCCTCTTTTTTCGTTTCAGTTCCAGCTTCCAGTTCCTTTGTCTCAACAAAAGCACCGCAGGTTTCACCGAATAAACACCCATCCGGCTGAAAATGAGAGGGATGAAAAAGCTGAGATTGGGAGTTCGTATTATACACAATGACACACTGGTAGCTCGACAAAGTTGGTAACGGTAGGTTATAATAAGGAAGCTGCACAGAGTAGGTTACCAACGGCTGCACCGCCTGTTGCGGCGGCCGAAGTAGTGGCAGTGGACTTAAAGGTTGAGACTTGGGTTGCAGAACATCATGGAAAGATGGAAACTTCTGGGATTTTGAAGGTAACCATTCCTTGGCACGGGGATTCAGTGGTTTATTAGGGTTGAAAGGAGAATCCATGGAACGCCTGAAGAACATAGCGATGACGATAATTCAAGAAACAACGCAAAACGAGTATGAACAATGATGATTCGCCCTTCCAATGTATACAGGAGAAATAGTACGCGTATCTTCTTTCTCCAGACAAAAATGTATTTTTTCCTACAATTTTATTTATTCCCTTCAATAATTAAAGAACACAATTTGCATGTTGAAAATTTAAACTTAAAATTTATTAAAGAATTTCATATTTATAAATTATATTATCCAATCCATACTTAAAATTTCATATTTATAAATTTATAAAGCATATTAGATAAACATGTATATGTTTTCCAATTCAGATAAAATTCAGCTAAATAATAGTAGTATACATTAATTCGTAAAATATTACACATTCTAAAATTTATTTATTAACTATATTTAATATGATATATTAATTATTAAAATATTTTAAAATAAATATATTATTCATATTAAACTATGCTAAATGAGCTCTAAATATATGACAATTTTTATAGTCTCGTAGTTTACTTTGAACAAAAATTGCAACTCATTGTTGAAAAACTTCATTTTTTTATTCCCAAGTGCATTTTATGTGTATATCAATCTCGCTTTAGATGAAATATTACTAAGAAATGGTTAGGATAGATGTTATATTTAAATTTAGAAATAAAGAAAGTTCGTAATTTTTTAAAGAATGTAAGCAAGTGTTCCTAATATTTTGTCAAAGATAAATAACGTATTTAATATTATCTATAGAAATGCCATATGATAATCTATAATTCAAGTATTATGTCTCCCACTATAATAAAAATTGTTTTTTACTGCATTCATTCATGACGTTTACATGTACACCGTAAATAAATTTCTATAGCATATATTTTATGCTGTAAAAACAAACTTGGTTGTAGTCACAACTGAAATTCCTTTCACCAGAAATCCTTCAAGACTATGGGAGTGCCTATGTCAGTGATAGGGGATTGTGTAGCCATAGTTTAGATGTTATTTATATTTGATATTTAAATGGCATTTAATGCAGACACAAAATCGTGCACATACAAATACAATCCCCCAAAGCCTAAAAAAAATCGACAAATTTTGTTTGTTTCTTTCTTTATTGCACAAAAACATGCACCGTACATAAAGATTTCTTGAGTTTCTGCTTCATATGTCAAAGATTCAGCCATGCAAAACTGACATTTCCATCATTCTCTTTTCTTGCTGTAGCTAATCAGTAAAATTCCTTCTGATAACAAAGGATAGTTTTTAAAGGGTTTGACACTGTAGTCTTGGTTGACATTTCTATTTTCAGCTTAACATTGATGACCAAGCCATATTGCTGTGTCAATCGATGCCCCTTCATGTTGGACCTTCATTGACACAACTTAATTTGTATCCTCAAAGCTTGTTATATATGGACCTAATCAAAGCTATCAAATCAACTAACATTCAAGTCATGTGAAAGAAGAGTGCAATTTTAACATCAATATTAAGTGCTTGTTTGTTACGGATTAAAAGTCAATTAAAATCAATTTTTTGACCGTTATTTACTATTTCAGCTGTCATTTTTAAATTCTTCTTTCATATGTAGGATCCACTTTATCTCTAACAATTAAAAAATCAATTATCAAAATCCCTATCAAATAATCTCTAACAATTAGTATCTTTCAAGCAAGAGTTTTGATTATGAGAGTTGAATAGTTAAAGACCCAAAATCTCACTTTAGAAAGTTCGGATCCAAAATTATGCTACATGAAATGTTAGCAACGGGACCCGAATTTTCTTATAATAAATTAATGTATTTATTAAAAGAATTAAAATCTAAAAGTTACTATTTTCCAAAAATAGAGTGCTTGATAATTGGTTAGTAATTGTAAATTCTCCATCAATCATGTAATTTGCCCCCCAGGGCACTTCTCCACTGGCAAAGGACGGACGCTGTCAAACCTGGCAGAGCAGAGGTCGTGAGTTCGAAACATGGGGCTCTTGGAAGGCAAGGATTTATTCTTGGAAGGCAAGGGAACATTTGGAAGGCAAGGATTTATTCTTGGAAGGCAAGTGGGAACTTGGAAGGCAAGGATTATTTTTGGAAGGCAAGGTGCAATTTAGATTGGCTTGCTTGACACTTTGTCAGACCAGGTGGGGAGCGCTCGGACCCTGGCCAGTCGGAGGCACATCCTGCGATTAACCGGACTGTGTGAAGAGGGGCCGGATCACAGACCCAAGGATTAGTCAAGAATTGGACACCTTGTTAAAAAAAAAAAATATATATATATCTAGCAACCAAAGACAGATGTTGAAGGTACTAGAATGCCTATTGGATGTATAATTATACAACATACACTGGAGTGATTTTAGATGTAAAATAAGAGAACAAGTTCCTAGAGATGTTAATAAACTAAAATACAGGGGTGTAATGTTATCGATTTTCAACTACTTTATGACGATAAAAATTTCTCCAATTTTGGACTGCTTCAATTTTATAGATACATGAAAGGAATATATGATGCTCTGTTGCTTTGACATAGATTTTCATTCAAAAGATCTTGGATTATCAAATTTGCACAATTAGATTATCGTATGTATGTCGTTGTTTAATATATTTCGTGTTAACTTTAATAAATAATCATATTTGTTGTATTTTAAATTATTTTTGTCTTTTAATTAATTTATTAATTATTATATCTTACATTTAAAATTTATTTTAAATGCAAATAATAATAATAATATTAATATTAATAAAATAATAATAATTTATTGTATTGAAAAATATATAGCACAAATGACCTAAATATTCTTAACAAATTTATTTTTAAAATGTTAAATAAGGGCAAAAGAGACATTTTACACTTTGCACCATTTTGCACCAAAATAGTGCAAAGTTTGGTGTTGCATTGGAACAGCTTTGCACCAAAAAAGGTGTAATGGTGCAACCATTGGATATGCCCTTATGTACTTAAACATAACACTTATGCATAAAACGGTAGTAGGGGGTAGGAAGTGGGATTGGCTCACCTTACCAAGGAACAACTTCGTGCTGCAAGTTGAATTATACTTCAATGAAATAAATAGATTCTCAATCAGCTACTTGGGAGCGCAAGCCAGATCATACGATGGGTTGAGCCGCTCAACTCAACTCGACCCATTTAACACACCTAAATAATCATCCTATTTTTGAGTTTAGTTAGGCTTAGTTGGAAGACCTAAATTTATATCACGTTTTGACACCTTTTAATTGTTTATGTCGATGCAAGTTAGCCCTTGTTTGTTAATCATTACTTCAAAACTCTTTTTTGACATATTTATTTTTTTAGTATACATTTATACAATAAAATATCTTATACGTAAATTTAAAATTTTTCTCTATTTTTAAAATATACATTTTCAAAAAATTACTATTCAAAATTTTATTTTACTAAAGTAATGATTGTCAAATCAGAGCTTAATTGATATAAAAATTGTAAATCAAAATATTAGTGATATTGAGCATCATTAATTTCTTGCAATGTATTATGAATTAATAAAGAGGAATTTATTAGAAATGTGCATTTTCACATGTTCATTTGCAAAAATATTTACTTTCACAAATTCTTGAAAAAATGTCCATTTTGAAATATTTTGGACCAAAATACCACTGTGAACAATTTATATTTCCACACAACAAGAAATGGACATTTTTGCAAATATTTTATTAGCCAATAAAATTTTGACACATAACCTGCCATATTTATTTCAAATGTGCACATGTCAAATCACAATTAATGTTATTTTTTTCATTAACACATAAAAGTTCAGAATTACATTTCAAGTGTAGAGAAATGTTATGTTCGAAATGAAATGTCATTCTAAATATTTAAAATGTCGAGAATATTTAATATTTTGATTTGACATGTGTACTTTTAAAATATAAACGAGATTCAAATATCGAGAATGACATTTGAAATGTCGATAATATC